AAAGAAGTCCAGACGCTTTTCTTTCCAAGCTCCTTAGACTTGTGATACTTATGTTTACTTAAGGACGAAAGGACCTAAATGTAGATGCATTTACTCTAATGCATTTCAGTGAAATTGTCCTCTTGAGTAGCTTCGACTCAGCATCTTCAAGTGGCCAAGCTTTCGCCCAAACTGTGCTATTACTGGGATACATGTGCTGGGAAAAAAGCCTTTAAGCAGAACATTTCTCTGAATCTGAAGCCTGTCTCGCTGAAGAGGGCCCAAAGGCTGGAACATTTTGGACAACATTTGAGACAAAATGGCCCTGGAGAGAGCTGGGGCCATGTTGTTGAAAATGTTGATTAGTTTTGGCATGTGCAGAGATAGATTGCCTGCCATCTTTTCATTATTTCTGTAGAACCCCCTGGAGAGAGGGCATGGAGATGGACTTGAGCAGGCAAGGCGTAATTAAACTTCCACAGGCAGGTCATGTGCTGTTAATGCTTTGCCACCACTTCTAATTACTTAACAGTATAGTCTAAATGATATGCTGTCACTGGGCAAATTAATTGGTATTTGGTGAGGGCAGTATGGCAGCATTGTCTCCTACATGTGTCATAGGCTCTTTGGGACCAAGAGAAGGCTAAGCATTATCTGACCCTGATTAAGAACATAACACTGAGTTAAGTGCATAACAACTATGGGTTATAGCAGCCCTAAGCATTCGGAGTTGATAGTGTGTAATTTCACAGATTCCTGACCTCTTTGACGTTAGGGTGCATATTTTTTAAGTTGCACTACAGCAAGCACAGTTTTTATAATTTGGATATGCCCTAAATTTAAGAGACAGCTCATGATGTGAATTAAGGGAAAGGTCCTGCATAAACCATGAAGCTGAATATTCAAGTTAGGTGTCAAGTGGTGCATAATATACTACTTCAAGCTCACAATGTGCTAGCATTAGACCCAGAATAGCTCTATTCAAATGCTACTGCATCACAAATAAAAATTAAATCCCAGGCCAACCTCTTAAAGTGCTTAAGGATATCATTATTATTATCATCAAAACAAAGTAGATTTAAGCTCCACAGAAAGGTGTGCATTAAGGCAGGTGACCTTTGATTTTGGTTGGCTGTACCAGAAGCAGCTTATCTTACCCCCAAAGTAGGAGCCATCCGAAAGCTTGGTTTCTTTGTTGCCTTTCGTTATAACACTGACAACCCCATGTTGTATGAAGTACATTTTCTTTCCGATGGTGCCTTCTCTTATGATGTAATCCCCAGGTTGGAACACCTCAAACCTCAATTTGGTGAGCATAGAGGTGACAAAGTTTGGGTCAGCATTGGCAAATAGCGGCATAGATGCCACCAGCTTTCGACAGTTAAAGTTGATAATTTCCTGTTTGAAAAGAAAGACATTAAAAACAGTGGTTAGTGACAGCAGCACAGCAGAGCCGTGGCTTTACAAAATGCAGTGACTTTTTAAAGTATTGGACAACAACAGGAAAAATGTCAACTGTGTAGACATCATTTACTGTTTTCTTCTTTTTCTAAGCCCCCCCTCCCCCCCACCAGTTTTTTTTTCTAAGAAAAAAAGAGATTATTTAGTCACACTGTGCTCTTGTGTAAGGCTAAAATGTCAGTGAATGTGAATTGAAATGAAGGGAATGTCGAGAAGTGCACAAGATGTCGAATGCATCAGAGCTGCATGTGCAGCTGTTTTAAAGCAAGACAGAAACACTTGTCCCACCTCTCGGAGCGGCTCATTCAGCTCTCCCAGGATGCTCTCCTCATCAAACATCTTGCCCTGGTAGCGGTGCTCATAGTAGTCGTGGATTCTCTGCCTCATATCTGCAGGCAGCTTGTGGAAGGACATGTACTGTTCCACCTGTTTGTACTGCAGGGACATAGAGGCACACAACAATCAGGTTATCTAAAGGCCATAGGGCTGTAGCACAAAAACACTGCCACAGGGAGCAGCTGGTACTGAGGTCAGACACACAAGGAAATGGAGACGGATTCAGGATGGCTATCCATGCCCTTTCAAATTTCACCCAAAAAGATAGCACTTTTCCCGTCTTTGATCAGGTCTCTGAAAGTCTCTCTTTCTCTCTCGGAAGTCACACTGTCCTGAATATTTGTTCCCTGAACGTACTAACTTCTAAAAGATAAGGGTGAGAGAAAGGAACGCTAGAGTCATGAAGTGCAAAGTCAAACTGACCTTTAAAAGTGCGCTACAGCAGCTAATGTGAACATGAAGTAAATGTAGATCTTAAATTATTAAATACATATTCCTTTTGTTCATGCAGAGAAGAATAGATTAGAGTGTATGTTGTTCAGGTGAAACAATCAAAGTGTTTCTGTTTTTACAGTACAGACTTGTGGATTAATATCCTCTGTTGTTGAAAGATGTAACTATTTAAATGTGTGTGTCAAAAAGCCTTTGACTGATTCTGTAGCAGTGGCAACAGAGATGTAGATCAAAGCACACTGGGAGCACCTTGGAGATAATAATGGGCTGAATCCTTAACCCGCTGTGAAGGAAAATAAGGAAAAAGAAAAAAAGAAGAAATTAACCATTCATAGGGTGACGCTTGTGGTGCTCTTTGATCACAATGGCTAAGCTGCCAGAAGACTTACCACTGACTAACACAGCTGACCTCAGAAGCCTTCTTCTTTGTTTTCTCACAATACTACTACTCTTGTTGGCGCTAATCTTAAAGGAATTCATCAAAGCTCCTGCTTTGTTAAAATAAATAAGAACGGTTTTCTACAATTTACAAGAAACACATACAGGTGAAACAAATCAAGTTTCGCAGTATAGAATATTGAGCAAGACAAAATATGGTGCACGAGGCTTGACCATGGGCCAAAATGTGCCTACCAGTAACATCCAGGGCTCCTGCACTATTTTAAAAATAAACTCAATTTTTAAGAGCTCTTTTAAACCTTCATCGAGTCCTTTACAAATAAAACCTAAGAAAAAAAAATCACAGTTAAATTATATTCAGGTTTTCATAAACTAGCAGGTATACAACTGTGAACTGTAATCCATACAATAAAGAACTTGATGCTTTTCTTTACCACACACAGTAGTAAAATAAATATATTTGTACAGGAAAACAAGTGCAACAATTTTAAAAGAGTGCTATAAAAACCCAAAACTTAATTAAACTAAAATGTATGTTATTCAATAATATTTCTGCCCACATAAAATGTGCAGGATATTTTAAGACCTTAGTTTGCCTGATTTTAATTTCTGGCTGTGACATCTTTTATCCCTGCACTGGCTTTTGACACCTACATTCCTCACTTTCTACCACTTTCTCTCTTTCCTCCTAATGCCATATTTAGAAGAGTTATTTGACCAGGCCCTTGAATCCTCACAGACGGAGAAGCAATCTAGAATGACCCTGTGCATATTGATGATAAGGCTCCTTTGACTGTGAACAGCTAGTTATGAACTATTACATGGCTCCACTCTCAATCCTGGACAAAAAACTGATTACAGATTAGGCAAACTGCTTGAAATATGTTTTACACCAGTTCCATCATATTAAATAGTTTATAGTTTATTCTATTTAACAACTTTTGTAGGAATGTCAAACAAAATAAATTATATTTTTTTGTGTAGCAACACTGTGTAATTTGATGTGGAAAGTCAAATACTTGCAAAAGCATAAACAAGATGTGGAGCTTATATTAATCCAGTCTCTCTGTCAATGTCAGGGCATGAATATGAATAAGAAATGTTGTGGGTGACAGTAAGAGTTTGAATCTTTATCCACAATATCCCTTTAGCATAAAATTAAGAAATGTACTGATCCAATGATAACACTTATTTCACAGAAATGTTGTAGGTGATGATCAAGATGTTTCCAACGTAGACATCTTTAGGTGCAGTAGCAGTCGCTGCTGAGCATTGCACCAAAGATGGCATTTCTAGATGTGATGCAGGGTGAAGATGACAGGTATCTCAAATTATGAATGAGGTCTAACACTGTTGTCTTCTGCTTTAGACATGTTACATTACAGTGCATTTCTTTAATTAGTTTTTTTGTGCATGAAGTATTAACACTTTGAGAAACTTATTTGAACTTTCAACATCTAATTTATGTACAGCTTTGTAGCATATTGCAGTCTGGTTCTCCCAGCACAAAAGAGTATTAGTCAAGTGAACAAATGCAAGATAATGTCCCACCTTCTGCAGTTTTGATGAATAACTGTATTACACGGAGTAACTCGGCATCACACTTGAAAGCATTTCAAATTTACTAATCACTGTGCTGGATGCAAAGACACTGGTCATCGGGGGCGCAGGGGGGCATTGAGGGATAGGGCAGGGGAGGCATTCTTTTCCCGATGATATGATGGGCTGGTAAAATCCCCTCTGGGAGGGAAATTATTCTATTGCTCAAAGATCCCTGCTCTCCTGATCTACTTGAACAAATCAAATCAGTCTGAATTTAGGTGGTAATTATTTCACCATCAGATTTTCTTGCTTCTATCTGAACACTAGAAAGATTACGGCTGTAATATGGATCTCTTATAATGCCTATAATGATTATTTCATGTTTCTTAGCTTTCCTCCCACCTTCCTTTACTCTGGTAAGTCCAGGATGATGACAAAACGTGATGTGGCCCAAATAAAAGCTGCTTTAACTGTGGTACAGGTATAGTGTATTAATTAGTGATTATTTGTGGTTTTGTTTCTATGTTGACCTTTAATAAAGATTGCTACCTTTTTTGTTCTGGCAAGCTCCTTATGTTTTTGGTTGTTTATAGTAACTCTGTATTGAGAATTAAAGAAAAGAGTATCCATGTCCTGATCTAACTTGTTTCTTTAGACAATTTTAATCAGCTTTAGTTGTTTTAAAGATGCAGTGACTGTAGCGTTTGTCTCTTCTTGTTTTACAGGGGAAAAAAATTCAAGACTTTGGCACCTAATTAGTCCTGCACTGTTTGTTGAAGAAACACTGAGACGAGCAGCTCATTTGATGCGTGTTATTACTCTTCTTGGATGTACACGTTACAGTTTCTGAAATATATGAAGATTTATTGCAAAAAAAACCCAAACAAACCAAAACTATTCATTTTGGGGTTGAATGTTCAGAGTTAACTGTCAGAGTGGGAGAAGCAGAAAATTCTTTGGAAATATTTATCTCTAATCTGCAGCTGAGCTTACTTTATGTACTCTATAGTCTTCAATTTATCACCAAAAAAGTAGAAATTATGTCATTTTCAGAGTCAGCAAATTTACGTGCTTGATCTATAGGTAGCTGAGTGAGAGGAGTAGCGTCTAAAAGACCTACTGAGATCTAATATAAATTAACAAGTGTTTGTAAAAACAGAAATTTGCTTTTATGACATTTTATCACTAGAAACCGACACATAGACACACACAAAAAACACAGATCTGTAAATCAACTGTTTAGTGCGCTTGCAGTTTTTAAACCACGCCAATACAAGTTGTGGTTTTGACTTTAAAAGCTGGCACATTTACACAGATTCCTCTGTTTTTCACATTGCAACACATCATCATAGCAGCATTAACAGCTGCTTTACTGACACAGGAGTGAACAACTGACAGTTGATGTGCTAGCTTTCATTGATGGATTTAAAACACTTTTTATCTTTTCCTGGTTGGTGCATGCTTTTGATGTATTTTCTATTTCACCCAAATAAATGAATACATCGACTGAATAAAAGATGAATGATCTGAGTATTTTTTCCTTACCACTGTAAAAAAGTAAAGCCACAATTCTAACATAGTTGAGCTTCCATTTTTGGAGCCACAGTCAGTGTTTTAGTGATTTGGGATGTATCCACACACACTGCATCCACACACCTCCTCAGCTTGACCGCAAGTGCAACTGTCTGCACTTATGTAGCCTGATTGCTGCAATTGTGACAATCTCTGCTTTTAATAGGCTTGTTCAAATAAGTTTAACTACTAACCACATACAGTAGCACACAGCTGTATCTAAAAAGGCACACACAGCATGAACATACTACATTTCAATGTATAAATGCCATTCTGTAGCTTCTATTCTCACTGCATTAGCTATTAGAAGCTAATTCGAAGCTAGCACAAACCATCTAACATGTCAACATTTTATAGTAAACAATTCTACAGACATGTTTTTTATAGAGTCATTAAGCTTATGCTTAATAGTTGTGTGTTTTCTTCCATCACTGGTTGAATCTAATTGAAAGAGACTTACACAGATTTTCAGTTCTGTTTTAATTGAGCTATTTGTATACAGCTTTTATCTGTCTGTCTCCCTGACTGTCTGTGTTTTTGATTGTGGACATGTAGTATGGGAGACATATTTTTCAGGTTTTCTACTTCCCGCAGTTTAAAACCAAAAGTTTAAAGCCGCCTATTTTGTTAAATATCTGGATGCTGACAAAATAATGTGGTTATTATTTCTTCTGGGTCCCATTCAAAATATTCTTTTTCTGTCTGTGCCTTTTCTCTGATATAAACATTCATATTCTTTTTTCCAGAGTCCTTTCTCTCTCATGTAGCTAAGCAGATGCAAATTCTTACCAAAGAAATCATGAATAATTTATTCCCCCAAAGAGATATTGGTTACTTAATTATACTTTTTAAAAATGTATTTATTTCCACTGTGCTCTCCTGCCTTCTTCCTAACCTAGAGTTGTGTAGTCAAAAGATATCTGCCACATATTTAGGCAAAAATGTTCACTGACTAATATAATGATGAAAAACTGGTAACAGAGAAATTAGAGATTAATGCTACAGGAATGCTCTAACATCACTATTTTATTTAAGAGATAACTAATATAGAAATTCAAAATCGAAATACAGCAGGAGTAGGTAATTATATTTTATGATCAATATACCTTTGAATTCCATGATAATGACTAAGA